GAGGCGGGACTGGTGGGGGGCCCCTCCTCCCTCCCCTCCTGCCCCTCTCTCCTTTTGGAGTTTGCTCAGCAAATCCTAGTGCAGAGCACACTCATCTCTCCTAGGTTTGCTGGGCTAAAATGCCATGAACAGTAGCAAGAAATAGGGGGTGCTTATGGGAAACTGGTCTGTCAGTTATTTTTCATTGATAAATGGACTCTTGACAAGTAGGGCCTGCAGCTGGCTGCAGTTTCCAGAAACAACACGCGCTGTATCGCTCCCGTGTTCACATTTGTTTTGGCTCTGGGTCCGGCACTTTCTTGTCCCTGAATAATGTCATTCCTTCCCCTCCTCGCAAAATGTTATTTGCTCAAACAACAGAAAATCGCTGCGCTGCGCCCCCATGATGGTGTCAAGTCCCGGAGGACAGAGTCCCGTGTGGTTCAGCAGCTCATTTGACAGTTCCCTCCCTTGCTTTTTTTCCTTCCCTCCATTGGAGACGCTCAGGAGGGGAACCTGGACCACCTTGATCGGCCCCCCAGGGTGGGCCCCCTTCCGGGCACGCGATGTGGCCGTCAGACTCCAGGAGGAGCCTCTGGTGGCCACTGCCTGCCCTCGCCGCCTCCGGTGGGAACACGGGGCAGTGGGCCCCCCCCCTCAGTTCAGTAGCCACTTTATCTGTAGCAAGAGGCCAACGAGGCCAGTGCCAGCTTCAGCCAGGGCATCTTGTCTCTGGAAGCCGCAGTGTCCTCGCCTGGCATGTGGCTAGTGCGTGAGTGGGCAGTGGCTCTGCTGACCCCCGCCCCGGAGTGAGGCTTCTCTGGCATCTTCCCTGCGCCCAGCGCTCCTGCAGTGGCTGTGAAGACCGGTCTCTGAGCCATTACCAGCCCTAACGGGCCTGCCCCTGGCCGGCCCGGCGCGCCCCGGGACTTCAGGGCCTCGGGGCTTTCTGTGAGCGCTTCGCCTGCAGGGCTGCCCCCCTTAACCTTCCACCGGGGGGTGGGGGAAGTGGCATGGCGGGCTCACCTCCTGCACAGCGCGAAGGAGAAGGTGGTGCGCTCGCCCGGGCTGGACGTGCAGGCCAGCGCTTTCCCGGGTTTGCAGCTGGCCCAGCAGGCTGGCTGTGGTCAGGCCCCTTCTGTGCTGAGTCCAGAGGGTGCCTGACAGCCTGTGCCCGAGCCGCTCCGTGGAGGGCGTGGCCGCTGGGAACACCTGGCAACGGGCTTGAATGGAAGGGCAGGGTGCAGGGGTGCAGGGGTGTAGAGCCCGGGGGACGGGAGAATGGGCACATACCCCGGGCAGCAACTCTCCCGGGGCTCCGCACCCCGACCTTCCTGGGGGTGGTCCCTTCTCCCTTCTGCCCGGCAGCTGTGCAGCCGCAGGCCCCGCATGAAAAGCGATGCTGTGTCCATCCCCGCACCCACAGGGGGACACCCACAGAGGGACAGCCTCTGCCCCCCCCGGCGTGGACGCCTGGTGCATGAAGCTCCAGAGGCTGGCGTGTGGGGGCCTGAGGATGAGCTGGAGGGTGTGCTGCTCGCCTGGCGCCGGTGACTGCGCCGGGCCGAGGGGACTGAGAAGTGAAGGGCTCTCGGGGTCTTGGGTGTGGGAGGGTGGGAGCAGCAGGCTGAGTCCTTCGTCACCCGGGCTCAGTTCCTCTGTGCAACAGGACGGCAGTTCCGCGCGCTGGGAGGGAGGAAGGTGGGGACCGCGCCGAGCTCTGCAGCGGGGGACCTGTCTCCTGTGTCGCCTTTTAGCTCTGCAAACACAGTCCACAAAGACACTAGGGCAACGGCTTTTAAAGCAGTGCTTTTTCTAGAATTGGCCTCTGACGTGCATTTTCTTAGCTCGGTACGAGTGGCACCGAGCAGGCCTTAGGGTGAAGCCCCCCGAGAGGTCCCACCTTCTCCTGTCCGTTCTGGGCGCCGCACGGGGAAGCAAGCTTCTTCGCCACTCCCCTTCTGGGGGGACCGGCGCCCGGCGCCTGGCCGAGGGCTGGCCGCGACCGTCCTGTGCAGTGGGGGCGCGTCCCGGGGACCTGCCCTCCTTCAGACTCCGGCCTCTGCCCACATTAACCCGACGGGGCAAGCACAGCTCTTGACAGGTTCCCAGAGGGCGTTCCGCTTCCATGCTCTCACGCGGAGGGCGTCGTCACGCCAGAGGCACTGGCGCGCCCAGGCGGGGGAGGTCCCCGTTTCTTGGTGCTGGGCCCCCGGACTGCCGGCGGGTCTGGGTCGCCCGGTCTGGTGGGGCAGCGGGACCCGACCCGCTGCACGCCCCCAGCGATGCGTCCGCCTGTTTCTAGAGCCCGCAGCGGCGCTGGGTGGCGGAGCTCAGAAGCTCCCAGCCCCGAGAGCCGGTCCTGCTTCTCGCCTCCAGGGCAGCAGGGGAGACCTGCTCGGGCCTCGGGGGTCCTGTCTGCAGACGAGGGCGAGTCTGAGTTTTGTTCTGTGTCTCGTTGGGGTGAGGGTGGGGGGTGCGGGGGTGCGGCGGCGATCTGCCGCTGTAACAGCTGCTTGGATAGAGACTGCAAAGAAGGGGTGACTGGGGCCTCGGCCTGTCCGGGGATGGTCAGTTTCTTGGTGAGGCCCAGCCTTGCAAAATGCAGCACAGAGCGTTTTGTAAACTCCTGTAAGCGTCTTAAGTCACGTCGAATTTCAGAGTCTACAAACGCTTTTGCTCATGTAAGTTCTGTGACACGCACTGGACAGGTCCCCGTGTACCCGAAACCGGGCGTCACGTGACGGTGCTCTGAAGGCTGCAAACACCCCGTGACTCGTGTACCGGGGTGCCCCGATGGCCACGCTGGGGCTTTTCCTGGGCTGCCCGCCGCGCCCTCCCCACCTCACAACCCTGCCGGGGGGATGGTGCCAGCCCACTTGCTGACATCCACCTCAGGAGATGATGGGGCGCTGCTCTTCACCCCTGTACTTCTCCTGCGAGCCTGGTCTCTTGTGGGGGCCCCAGAGCCAGCCAGAGCAGCTGAGTGCTGGGTGCAGGCGCTGCACCCCCGCGGCTGGGCAAAGGCTTCCATGGTCTGCCTCTCCGGCCACCTCTGCTTGGCCAGAGGGTTGGGCTTCTAGGCAGCCAGTCCCCTCTCGGTGGGGTTTTGATTTGAAATAATTTGCTGGGATTTCCCTGGGAAAGTGAGACGACGGGTGGATGGCCGTGGTCGAGAGGAGGGTCCTCGGCTCGTGTCTCCTGGGCACCCCTCAGGTGCCGGGCAGCGTGCAGAGGCCCTGGCTCCGGGTTGCGCTCAGGGAGGCGGCCCTAGCAGTCACCGGGACGATGCCTTGGCGCCGGCCTGTGCCTGTACCACGACCCTGCTGCCTCCTGAGGGAAGACGGCGAAGGCCTGGGCCTGGGCTGCCCCAAAGCTGTTGCACCAGAGACGGCAGCCGCCCTCAGGCCTCCCCTCCACGAGGGCCACAAAGGGGCCCTTGGACGGCCGGGCACGGCCCCCATGGCTCAGGCCTCCCCTGCCTGGGGGGCCCCGACCACTCCCCAGCCGGGGGCCCAGGGCTGGCAGCCGTCTGTGGCCGGCTCTCTGGCGAGAACTGGAGGAACCGTCTGGGGTCTTTCCCCGAGCAGCCCCGCCTGCTCAGACGTGTGGCTACTGAAGTGACATGGTGTGAAGCCGTGTGGCTTGGGGCCTCGGGCCCCACCGGGCCCTCGGGTCCCCCGGCCCCCGCCAGTCAGTCCTTCGACAGTGTATTGATTGCCCCTGCCCCGCTCTGCACTTTGCATGAACTTTGTTTTCGAAGAACAGTGGAGGTAGTTTTCCTGTGCTTGCCAGCTGGCCTGGAATTGAGCAATTTCAATAGCACCCACTGTCAAGTCTAATCGAAGTAAACAGGAAAATATGATTTACAATCTGGACGGCGAGTAAATATCAGGGTGCAATTAATACTCGCGCGGAGCAGCAGATTCTCCAACACTTCCCTAGTGGAGCAGTTTTTAATGACAGCGCAGGGCTGCCTGTTTTGTATTTATTGCTGTCATCATCTTGGTTTTCCGCTCTCCGGTGATGGTCTGCAGGGTCCCTATCGCCACGTGACTTTCTGTGAAGGGCAGAGTGCAGGGGACTCATCAGGAGAGTCGCCGCAAACTCCTCCTCGCCCTCCGTGTTTGCTTGGGGGCCGAGGACGGCGGCTGGGAGGAGGCGCTGGCGGGCTGGGCAGATGGCCCTTCCCGGCGCTGTGGGCAGGCCCTGCCAGGACTTGGCTCGGGCCATTCAGGGGAGAGGAGCGGAGCCGCGCTGGCCTCCAGGGTTGCAGAGCTGTCGTGGCTGAAATGGGGGTGCTTCCAAGGATGGGAAGTAGATGCCTTTAACTGGACCCTCCTGATTCGCAGTAGCTTCTGTTTTTAACCGCAGCTGGCTTGCCCACCGTGGGTCCCCCACTGCCGGTTGACCACCCAGGGGCCCACCCCTTTGCTCTTGACCTTGGGGTTGGCGTGTGTCTGACACTCAGCCTGCCTTGGGCATACGCTGAGGCTGACAGCAAAGCCAGGTCCGGGTCAGAGGTCACCCCCCTGAGTGCATGTGGGGACAGCCGACTCGGAGCTGCCCCGCCCCTGAGAGACGCCTTGAAGGTTCTGCCTGGCAGAACCCCGATGCATCACTACATCCTCCATTGTACTCACTTTAGAGACAACTCAAAGGCTGGCATGGGGGAATGGGGACTCTGGGAAGGGGAGTCTGGCCCTGGTAGCCCCCCCAGGATGCAGCCCTGGGAGGCGGGCCCAGGCCAGAGGGCAGGCAGTGTCCCGCCCTTGTGAGGTCTGAGCATCCAGGGGCGCAGGGCAGTTCTCACCGGACCCTGGTCACCCCGGGGTCTGAATCCCTTTGCCTTTCTTTTGTCTTTCTAGGGAGTTGAGCACGCTTGGCCTTTCCTAGAAGGACGCGCCCCAGGGGTGAGCGGCCAATGGGGAGCTGTTTCTGCTGACGCTGGTCACCTGGGAGGCCTCGGAGGTCGCCTCTGCCAAGTCTACCTGCTGAAGATGGCGCATGCCCCCCCCGGGGCGGAGCCCAGCGCCTGAGGCCCTTACCATGGTGATGACCCTCAGTAAAAGCCTCGACAACCAGGGAGCTGACTCCGTAGCATGCCAGACCCTCAGCCCTGAGCTGGTAAGGACCCAGTGGGCCCGGGCTCCAGGTCTCTTTGAGGCCGGACGTGCAGGCGGGGCTGGGCCAGGCCCCGGCACAGGCGGAGCCCAGAGCTGCCTGGAGCCTGGCGTGCGCTGGCGAGGAGCGCACCCAGCTGGGCCTCCTCCGGTGAGGCCCAGAGCCAGCACCCTGGTAAACACCACCACGTGTGGTTCCGCCGAGACCCACATTCTTGCTGGTTTCCACTGGTGAGGGGAGGTGGTGTCAGAGGGGTGATGCCTGGATAAGAGCCAGGATAAGGCTGTCCCAAGTGGGGGTGTCGCGGGAGCGCGGCTGCCTCGCCACGTCAAGAGTGGGGGGCGGGGAGAGCAGGCGGGTCTGCCAGCCTCCCGCGGGCCGGGCCGGGCCGGCGCCCTCCGCTGCTCCGGAAGCCGCCCTGGAGCAGGCCCCGTGGCCTCCGCAGGCCGTGACTAGTCTCCCAGCCCTGCTCTGAGCCAGTCCTCAGCAGCGGGCGGGGGGCTGCTCCCCGCGGAGGGCGAGGAAGCAGCCCCCGACAGGCGGAAACGGTCCGGTGGGGGCTGCGGGTCCACCCCGGGGCCCTGCGGCTTCTGGGGTCCCGCCTGGGACCCCATTCCCAGGACCCCCGTGGCTCCCTTCTCTGAGCTCGCACCCGTCCCCGGTGAGCGCTGGCCGCTGGTCTGCTGGTCTGCGGCCCTCCCAGGCCTGCCCGGAGCGCGGGGCGCAAGCGGCTGCAGGGATCCTCGCGGTTAGGGCTTGTCTCCGCCCTGGAGAGCTCCCTCAGGGGCAGCCATGTAGACAGACAGGTAGAGACAGGCAGAAGGGAACAGTCAGGGCAAACCCCTCAGGCACGACCTCCTGGCCTGCAAGCTGCTGGCCTTGAGGACGAGCTAGTCCCGCCCCCTTGAAGTACAAGCCAGGCCAGTGCCGGCTGGCTCGGACCCTCACCTCGCTCCAGCCCCAGTCTCAGGCCTCCCCCCGTCCCCCCACCCATGACTCCACTCCTGGGCTCCTCGGCCCTGTCTGTGGCCGCCTGAGCCCCGGCCCTGCCGGGCAGACCAGACAGGCGCCCGGCGGTTTGCTGGATGCCCACGGTCACTGCCCGAGTGCCCGAGCCCAGCGCCCAGCTCGCTGCTGCCGTCTGTGTGGGTGACCAGGTGTCCGCCCACCCTCGCACCTCCTGCTGGCCTCCCACCGGCCGTCCTGTCCCGCCCGGGCTCTCCCGGCCCCCGCGCTGGCTCCTCTAGCAGCAGAGGGCGTGGGGCAGGCGGGCCTGCTCAGCCTGTGCTGGCCCTGGTCCTGGCCCAGCAACGTCAGGGCTGGCTAGGAGGCCACGGCCACCGCGGGCCAGCAGCCTCTGGCCTCTGGGGCTCTCCCCGCCGCTCCGCCTCGGCCCGAGCCTCGCTGCCGCCCTGCCTCAGGGGCTTTGCCGTCTTGCGTGGCCTGGACGCTCTGCCTCCCGTCCTTCCTCCTGTGCCCACGGGCCTGAAGTTGAATTCCGCTGTGTCCTCCGCCCACGCCCACCCACTTTCTGCCCACTCTCCCTTCGCTTTCCCACGTTTCTGCTGCCCCTGGGGGCCCCTGCACTGCAACGTGAGCTCCACCCCAGGGGCTGTCTCCCGAGTGCTGCGGTTCCCGTCCTGGGCCTGAGGGGCCGCATGGGGCAGGGCCTGTCTCGGCCTCTGCAGTGGACGATCCCGGCTGCTGCTCAGCTGGCCATCGCAGCCCCCCACCCCCTCCCCGCTGCCCAGACGTTCACTGACTGCTGAGGGGCGGAGAGGCCAGTGACTCCGTTTGCCATTGTTGAGTGTTTCCTGGTGAAATCTCGAGAACACGTGGAGCAGCTCTGGCCAGAAGGGGTGACCTCCAGGGCCAGGGCCTGCCCGGAGTCCGGGGAGGGCCGGGGCCTGCTGCAGCTCTGCCTTCGGCCTCGGCAGGCGGCTGCGCTCGGGCCCTCTCGGGCGAGCCTGGCGGGGTGGCCGCGGAGCTGCTTCCAGGCCCGTGGGCGCCGGGTCAGCTGAGCTGCTGTGCCAGGAACTGAGGCCCGGCAGGAGGAGCGTGGCCTCCTCGCCCGAGCTGGAGAGGGAGCCTCGTCCAGCAGAAAGTAAGGAGAGCTAGGCGGGGAGCGGCCTGCCTCCCCCTGCCACCCCGTCTCCCCGGCCTGTCACCCGCCCGCTGCTCTGCATCATCGTGCTGCAGGCCCGGCTGCCGCGGCGGTGCCAGGCCGGTGCCTCCGCGCCCCTCCCTGGGCTCCTTGACGGGCAGGTCAGCGGTGGGGGGTGGCCCCCTTTGGGGAGGGGGCGCCTCAGACTGTCGGCTTGTGAGGCCCCACCGGTGACCGTGCCCGAGGCTCGGCCTGCGTGGGCCGGCGGGCACAGGGCGGCTTGCGGTGTGTGGGCGCCCGGCCGCGGCTCCCCTCTTTTACTGGCAGGAAGCGGCAGGTCAGAGAGCCGGGAGGGAGGGTCCCAGCCTCGCTGAGGGCGAGGGGGCGGTCTGCTCCAGCCAGGCCCTGCGCTCCCGCTGGGCCCCGAGGCTGTGCCGGGCTCCTCAGCCTGCAGACAGGCCCCCACGAAAGTCCCCAAGTCATCTCCATCTGCCGGTGACGTCCACAGGGACAGATTGTGAGATAAACTGCTGTGACAGCCAGCAGGGCTGAGAGGAAGTGGACGGGGGTTTTGCTCAGCTGCCTGAACTGGTAACATCATCCTCATGTAAATACCATCAAGATAACACAGGAAAGATGGAAAAGCATTTCTCTTTTGTTTTCTGATCAGACTAAGACCAGCACAGAAGTGGGGGTTTAAGATTAAAAAAGAAAGCATGAATCACCGCAGGCCACTTGGGATTGTGGGAGCGGGCAGGGGGTGTCGAAGAAGCTGCAGGTGGAGCCCAGGGGCCTTGGAAACTGGGGGGGCAGGGGGATAAGCCGGCCGGGCTCCCCGCCGGTTCTTATTCTCCCTTTTCTGGAAGCCAAGAGTGGTGCTGTGTGGCCACCGCGCTCCCCAGAGGCGCCGTAGAAGCAGGGGTGCTGAGGGGCACGCAGCCCCTTGCCCGCCGGCCAGGCCCCCGCCTGCCCTGCCCGGGGTGGGGGTGCCGGCTGCCGCCTGCACCGCAGGCCTGCGGGTCGCCGCTTCCCCTTTCCCCACTCCCCGTCACCTTCCTCTGCCAAGTGGGCTCTTCCTTTTGTTCTAACATTAGCTGCTGCTGCTGGAAGGCAGCCCAGAGTTTGACCCCGGGGCCGCGTTCCCGGCTCCCTCGCGCACGCCCACGCGCCGGCCACTGCAGCGACCATCTCCCTGGGCCTGGGCCGGACGGGGCCTCCGCCCCCAGCGAATCTCCCAGCCCTCTCCGACATCCGGAGACCAAAGGGACGGGACGGTGGCTCCAGGCCGCCCCGCGGCCCCAGCCTCAGGCCTTCCCCACAGGTACTTCCTTCTGGCCGGGCCCACTGGCTGCCGAGGCGAAGCCCTGCCCAGTCGGAGAGTGGGCGGCCGTGCCAGGCCTTGCGCCCTGCCTGCCTGTGCGCCCGGGTCACCCGCTGCCAGTCGCCCGCAGCGGGCACTTTGGGCTCCACGGCCCCTCCAGGGTCCTTGGCGGCCCCCGCTGGCTGCGGAGCGGAGGGAGAAGGGTGAGGAATTCGGGAGCCTCCGCACAGGCAGGGCACCGGGGTCGCCACTGCCCGGCCGACCCCAGGCTGGGAGCCAGCGCCACACCTGTCTGCTCCGCACGGTGAGCGCGGGGGCGGCCTCTGGGCCCGGCTCTGGGCCCGGCTCTCCCTGCCGCTGCTGCTGCCTGGTCTCGCCGGCTCCGACCCGCGCGAGAGGAGGGAAACGCAGCCCGTGCCCTGTGGAAGAAAGTCCAGGAAGCCTGGTCGAGGCTGGAAATGAGCTCTGCCGTTTTCTGCGCGCTGCTCTTCGGAGGAAGGCCTGGCTGCGTCTTTACCCAGGGTGGCGCTTCCCGCCGGGCCCCTCAGATGGCCCTGAGGCCCCACTTCCTCCTGGGAAGAGCCAGTCCCCGGATCTCCTCCTGTGGATCTCAGGGAGCCTCGTGGACATGAGGCTCTGCCCGGGGGCAGCCTGGGACAGAGGCGTCCGGGGGAGAAAGGCCCGGGCGCCCCTGCTGCGTCCTGCTTCTTGGTAGCCTGCGGCTGGACCTGGGCTGTGAAAGCCCCGGGCTGCGGCCGCGGCGGGCGCGAGGGCGAGGGGGACGGGCAGCAGAAGCGAGGCCGGCCAGGCGTGCTGGGAATGACATGGCCTGAGGCAGCTCCTGCCAGGAAGTCGGGTGTGCCTGGGCCTGACCTGCCTGCCACCCGCCCTCCCTCACAGGTGGGCTCAGGGCCCCAGCCTGAGTCTGGCCCCGCCGCGTGAGCAGCAGGCGTCCAGCCGCGTCCAGCCGTTACGCAGGGGCCCTGGCGTGATGGGAGGTTGAGGAGGAAGTCGGGCCAGAGAGTGAGTGAGGCTGGAAAGGGCAGGGACCTGGGAGCTCGGAGGCCTCTGGAAACGGGTGTCGGTGGCAGGTTGGGGGCCGCCCTGCTGGGTGAGGCAGCCCGGGGAGCCCAGGGCCCAGAGTCAGAGCCCAGCGGAGGGCGTCCTGTGCGCCCCCCCACCGGAGACCTGTGAAGAGCTTGGCTTGGCCTCAGCAGACACCATGCAGAGGAGGAGCCAAGGGCTCCCAGTGCAAAACTGGGGTGCTGTCGAAGGGGGCCTGCACTTCCAGGCCGCGCAGTTTCCCTCGCCCCGTGTGGGAGCAGTGTGGGGGTGGCCCCGGGGACGTGGAGAGGTGTCCTCAGGTGCGGAGGTCTTGTGTGCCCTAGCCTCAGTCTGCCGGGCCTCTGGGCGCAGTCGTGGCGCTGAGAGGCCGCTGGCTTGCAGGGTCCGGCCCCCTCTCCACCCGGCGCGTTCCTTCCCATTGGCCTCGGCCCCCCGGGGGGCAGCGGCAGGAGCAGGACAGGTGTGGCCCACGCGTGTGC